CTTACTCCAGTGACAAAAATTTCAACCTAAATTAAGCGGTCTGTTTTTGGAAAAGTCAAACACGTCCCCGGCTCGCTTCTCAAGGCTTGTGGTTGGCATGGCAACAACGCCGGTCTCTTGAATGACTCATCTCTTCACCGTTTATCACACAATGGGAGCCATGAGCATTTTCAACCTCTCCACTACAGGAGGGGAAAAAAACATGCTTTTAAGCTACGATCTGTTAGCACCTTAAAAAATAAACAACCAGCCAGGAGAAATCTAGTTTCTCTGGAAACCAAACACTGAAATGACATCACGTCTAACTCAAAGGAAGTGAGGCAATTCACACTTCTCTGTAAAAAACTAATAACACGGATTAGCATAAAGCTAATGAAAGTGTTGAGAGTCATCATGTCAGGTGCTGACCACTGATTTTTATCACTGTTTTCTGGGCTGTCATAGTTAAATAATTTTATTTTGAACTATTAACCCGGAAAATGTGCTTTTTAAAAATCACAAAAACAGCAGAAAACAGTTTATAAAGTTGATAAATAAGTACTTTTCTTATCTGACATGGTCTACAATTACTAAATTGCTCAATATGAATTGTAGTTAAGAAAAATCATCAGATACTGCTTTACTAAGTAGAAAAGAGAAATAAAATAGTAATCCATAATAACACAAGCTATTTTACTTTAATAATAATGATAATAATAATAAGTCTTTTCCATCTAAATAAAAACAACAACAACAACAACAATGCTGGCTCTTCTCTTCTGATTTGCTGACTATTTACTTTGAATGGAAAAACAATCTCTGGATTGCTCATGTGTTTGAGTGTAAACACAGGACTTGACAGACTCATTTGTTTTCTGCCTTTCGTGTGTTTGTCCATAAACATTACATAACAGAGTGGTTTAATTATAATTAGCAGTTACATTAAGTAATACGTATTATTTAAATGTTAAAAACATATTTAGAAAAGGTGCTTTATTTGTGTAACTTTAATATAGTTTTAAAAAAATAGTTATGTTTCAATGCAACGACATAAACAAATAATACTTATGTGACAAGCTGGAGTATGTCACCTACCATTAATGTGCAACACCCCCCCAAACTGTTGGCTTTAAGAAACTGCGGCCTCCAGAGAAATTTTGTTGAATATCCTCGATTTAGAGTTTTAAATGCATCACAAGAAGTGCTCAAAAACATCATCAAAACATCACACTGACTCGAGACGATTTAACCAGATCAGGTTCAAGTAATTAAAAAAACTCTGAAAAGCGGTCAGGGAATTCAAATCAGACATCTTTAATTTGCTCTAACGGAACAACTCCGCTGTCGTTTTTAATTGATCAGCTGATGCAAATCCATAAAGCTTCATTTATTAATTTGCTGCTTCTATAAACATTAAATTCATAATAATCACAATTATTTTATTAAAAATATACACTAATTTCAGTAAACATTATGTAAAGTTGTTAATACCTGACTGTGCCTTACAGAAGGTCGCACAGCTTGTTTCCTGAATAGATAAATGTAAAAATATATATAAAACAGAAAAGCAGAAGCTGCTGGATCAAAACACACACATCCCTTAGAGCTTTCAGGGGAAGACAGTGGGATAATTTGCCTGTCACTTTCATTCTTGTCACAGTCGTGACATGCCGTTTCATGCCAGTTTGTGTTGTTGTTTTTTTAACCCAGACTAGAAAATTACTTAAAATTGTTTCAAATGTCTCCTGAAAGTATCGGGTTCGTTTTGTCACCTGCTCCAAAAATCCAAAAGAGTGAGTTTGTTGTTAAAACCAAATCATTTTATTTAAGTTTCCAAAAAGACGTTGCATCACGCTTCGTACGCAGCTTCGACTACCAGATCAGGCAAGTCCTTCTTACTCGCTCGTCCCCTTGAGCATGCAAACATTTCTCAAGCTGTTGCAGCTTGTTGAACCTAAAGGGGAGAGAGAGAAAAAAAAAAAAAGAGAGCCCGATCTGAACGAGGTCGATCACTTCCAATCCTCTATGTCATACGAGCCTAACGTGCAACAATGGGAGCTGTGTGCTACACTTTATTAGTATATTTGGTGAAAAAAAGTGTGCAGCGTATGCGCTCACGTTGCTGGTCGAGACCTAAATACTTGTAGTTATTAGCTGGCTCAACAGGATTAGTTTGACTTCAGGCTAAAGGAAGTCAACCAGATGAGATATCTGGTATCGGTATGCGTGCGTCGATCTGTCACGTTGCCACAGCGCTTAGAGAAAGACAAACGACAAGAACAAACAGATGTGTTGGTGTTTGGAACGCATTGTGGCGTGCCTCTAACGGGGAATGTATGACTGTGCTGAAAAAACAAGGTGTCGTGTCGGAGTAAAACTAAAACGACAAATATTAAACCTCTTCGACTGAACGAAGGACGAGCTGATGTGCCTGTTTCTACCTACAACATATAATTATGCTTCAACCTAAAACAAATACCGGTAGTAAGTTTTTATACCGTCTGTCTCCCCATATTATTCCACGCAGCGTCACATTTCACTGCACAATCACAAGGCTCTGCTGGTTAGTAAGCATTAAACAATTCAGGGCAAATGAACAGGTTAAAACCAACTTTGCTGGTATGCAACAGGTGACTCTTTGACCTAGTCTTTATAGTCATGTGAAATGTTGGGAGTGGGTTACTTAATCCCTCCTTTATGAATCTTATAGAACATTCCAATATGCCGTATAAACCTGAAAAGTCCCAGCGAGAGAGATAGCTCTTTATCTTTTCTCCAAGTTGTTTTTACTGTAAACAGTTTTTACCAGCATCGAGACAACAGTAAACAATGCAAGCAGCTCATTCTAGATCAGGACTTCAGACTCCTCAGGTATGATCAGGGTGGCAACACAGAGCCTTTACATGAACACACCTTCAAACATCCCTCTGAGGTGTTTCCAGGCCCTGCTGAAAATACTTAAAGTAAAAGATAATTAAAGTAGGCATGTTACTCTTCTGCTGACTCAGCTGTAATTGGCTCAGCCCACTGAATTTGTGATTTTTCACCCTGACCCATAAAAAAGAATATTTTTTTCTCATGGCTAGTGAGTTAGAACTAGAGCTGGGCGATATGATCAAAGTTTTATATCACGGTATTTTCAACATTTTCATCGGTTTCACGGTATTTGACTGTATTTTTCTTTTCATCACAGCTCAGCTGATAATAAAATGTACAAACCCTGCTTATTGAGTTTTTTTCTTTTACTGTACCTCTGTCTGTGTCTCTGTTTCCCTCCTCTGTGTCTGTTCTTCTCTGACTGGTGGTTGGAGACAGTAGTCACGCATTTTGGTCCAGTCGTGAAGGAGGAGGGTTAAGAAAAGATTATGATCAGGTTTATTGTTTAATGTTATTTATTAAAGCTTTTCAGCACGACTCACCTTGCACACCAGTCAATTCCAACTCCACTACGAACTACTTCCTGCGGGCTTTTCACAACAGAACCACGTTAAGTCTCCATCAGCATAACGTCTCCATATTAACTAACCGCGTTAAACCTAACTGTGCACGTCACTGAAGAGGTGTTTACTACATTCAGCGACGGCGAAAATGGGATGTTTTTTTAAACGTTAGTAATATAAGCAGCGGAATCGCCACCTGCTGCTGCAACTAGCTGCTCCAAACATTAGCATGCTAACGCACATAGCGGTGCAGCAAGGAAAAATGTCCCCCGGGAAACAACAGTTCACTGGTGGCTGCGACGAAACGTTCTGCTTTTTTAAACCGGAATGTCCGGTATTCAAAAAAATTCATATCATAACAAAAATAAAAACCGGTATTCGGTACAAAACGGTATACCGCCCAGCACTTGCTTTTTCACCAACTTTGAAAAACATTAGCAGACCTATTAGCTTCCGCTAAACTGGGTTTTGCCAATTTTTACTCTGCTAACAGCTAACTAACATCAACAGGTTTGTCAGTCGAGATAAAGACATGTGATGCTGTGACAGTAGTGGTTAATAATTAGCTGTAAGCGTTAGCTTCCTCTTATTTTTATTTTTTTTACATGTTTAGTGGTTTAGTGTTAGTGAAACTATTTTTTAGAAGATTATGAGTCAGCAAGGCTAACTTTTTGGTTAGCTGTACCCTGTCATACCATAAATGAGAACTTTAGCTCCAACGAAAGCTGCTTGATTTTCCTGAAGGTACATAAAAAGGTTTTGACAACTTAACAGACTGGTATTTTATGTCTCCAACTGCAACTATTTAATTTGCAGGCACATGCTTTTTTAATTTTAAAAAGGCACGTGCTGGCACAATGCAACAAAATGCAATATTTAAAAGACTGTAGAAACTTTTTTTTTTKGGGGGGGGGGGGGTGAATCACAACTTCTCATAATGTTCAATGAAAATCCTAGAGATTATAGATCCCTGAGTTGAGTATTTTAAAATGCTGCAACTTTCCTGTTTATTAAGCCAAAATCAAAAATAATCTTATTTCTTTTGAAAGTTATTTTAAAGCCTGATCAATCCAAAATAACTTGTTTTAACTTATTTAAACTTTTAACTTAGAGCAGCATGAGAAGTTTCGTGTGGCTGTGTATGGTTCTTCCACTTGCTGAGGCCTCTGCTTGTTAAATGAATTCTAAGGCTGTTGTGGCCGTGTATGGTTCTTCCACTTGCTACTGAGGCCTCTGCTTGTTAAATGAATTGCCACTATGTCTTCTTTCTGCTCACTTCCATCTAATAAAACAACATATAGCAGAAGAAGCTGTTTAGAGACTCAGTTTTTATGGGCACATAAATGTGGCACAAAATGTTCTTACTTTTTGTGCCGAGTTCTTAACACACTTTGACAAGAAGTTCTGAACAAATTAACTTTTTTATGGAGGGGTGGAGGACACAACAAAACCTAACATATTCAACTAATAATTAACAGGTTTCTCTTTAAAAGCAGCGTTTAGGTGCTGCAGATCCAGCTGTGCACACAACAACAAACACGGGTCAGGACAGGCAGACCACCCTCCATCCCCTCACCGTACCTTTGAGCTGCGGCAGCGGGGAGAGCTCCACCGGGGTGCTCTGGCTGCGGTACTGAGACGAACCCTGGGATCTCCTCTGCTTCTGAGCCTTCCTCACGGACTTCCTCGTGAAGCCGTCCACCTTTTCGGATGCAGAGATGGCCGACATTTTGATGCATGAAACTCGAGCTGTCGTTGATGACGATGATTAGGGTTTCCTCTGTATCAGCATTAAAAATCCAGAGAGAACCGTACGAGCTGCTGCTGAGGCTTCTTCTTGTGCTATTCTGTATAATCCATCATGTCTGCTCGTCATCAGGCTGTGTCCATCACTGAAGTGTTGTTTAAACGCGGAACAATCTTTAAATAGAACAATGAATGCACTACAACCCGAGCTAAATCGTAAGAAATACAAATAAATGTCTAAATATCCATCCGTTCTTGCAGATTTGTCGTGCTTTCGGTGGCTCTACCTGTTGCATAACGTAGGTAAGGCATTGTTGTCAAAGTTGTCTGGATTAAACACTATAGCTAGCAGCCAATGCACACAACTAGCATGCTAGCTTGTTTTGATGTGACGACAAAATGCACCGGTGAGAAGAAAATAAGTTAAAACCGGGAACTGCACCTCATGGAAGTCCTCATTAAAGCACCAACTCCACGACTTCAAGCATCGGTTTTAATCCAAGAGTTTAGACACTTCCGCTGACTCTCTCTGCCACAATGAAGTTTAAAAAAAACGTCGTTCGGCGGACTCGTTTGGCGGTGAAGTTAACCGCATAAAGAGCGACTTAGTCCTCGCTGCAATCCTCGCTGATTATACCGCAACAGTCCAGCTTCTGCGGCCTCTAAAAAGACCGAAAACAAGAGAAAATAAGTGGATGTCGAGCCCGAGCAGGCGGCCATAAAACGCTTCCAGGCAAGGCAGCCAGTCGTCGCTCCTTCGTCTGAGCGCTGGACTGAGAAAAGCGTTGACAGGTGTACGTCACTGATTGACCTTCCTGACAGCCAATCACGGCGCGGGTATTTGGACACTTAGAAACTTTTTAAGCCTATCAGGGCGCGGCAGGAGGGCTGGTCAACAACGTGAAAACAAAAGAGTCGACATTGAAACAGTTCAGTGACGACTGGCAAAAACATTGAATGATAGGATAGAAGTTACTTCAAGTTATTTTTTCTGGGTAGGAAAACAAGGAAGAAAAAATCAACGCATCTCCTGAATGAGCTGAACATTTCCATATATGAATGGCTAAAAACAAATAAAACCAAAAGATGAAAACAGTACAAAAAATGTAACAGTCAAAAACCATGCCAACACCGAAAAAATTATAAATTTAATCTAATTTGACTACAGCAATTAGATGGCAATTAAATACAGATAAACCAATCAACATTCTATGGGTTTTTTTGTACATATAAACAGCTCACGGTCAATGTAACAAACCGACAGCAGAACACTAATGGAAAAGTTCAAAACTGTGCGAGAAATAAACAAAACAAGAAATTTTTTTACACACAGAACCGAGTAAAAAGATAAAAATGATTAAATATAGAAAGAAGAACAAATATAGAGTTAAAAATGCCCCCTAGATGTGGTAAAAGTTCTGTATAACCTATAAAAACACAAAGTTATTGTACTTTTTAAAGTTGTTGGATTGGAGAGAACTGGCTGATTTACTCAGCAGATTAATTTCTAAGCCAGAATCAGGCATCAGAAGTTAGTGTGGGAGGCGAGGGCAAAATTCAAGTTTCTATTAAAATTCTAGATTAAAAAAAAAACACGTCTGAATGTCAAAATCAAAATAAACATTCAGACTGACAGTTATGTCAACTTCTGTGCAACCCTGGTTAAAAACAATGAACACTCCAAACATTAGCGTAGCATCTCATTAGCGCACACCAGATCATTCGGGAAGCTTTTTTGTAAAATACATGGGGATTTTCTTCGTGTTGTGTGGAGAGCGGAGAATCTGAAAAACAAAAATGAAGAAAACAGCTTTGATGATCAGAATAATCAAGTTTCTACTGGTTATCTCACATAATCTTGGGTGAAGGTTTTTCTACATGTGTATCCACTCATCACTTTCTAGATATTTAGCTAAAGCTACAAACATACATATATACACACAGGGGCAAAAACATGACCTCCTCCTTTCTGATGAAAAAGAAAATGTTGCGTTTAAAGTGAATTTGTTCCTAAACCCTGGACGCTCTGTACTTACTGGTGAAGTATGCGTCCTGACATCATGTTTTTTCAGTAAGATGGGACCTTCATGACTGTTCTTCATCTTTTGGCTCATTTCTGACAGCCAGTTTGTGGGGCTGCAGTTCTCCTTCCCAGCCCGCCTGGCGGCAGCTTGTTGGCCGTCCTCTGTGTGACAGTCTGAGCTCTCCTGAAGGGAGGAGAGGACGCCGGACATGACGCGGCTCCTCTTGGCCGCAGGGCAGATTTCAGTGTTGCGGCCGCTCTGCGCGGTGTCCTCGCAGCGTGCAGGTGAGCCGTCGTCGGCGCCCAGCCGGCGTTTGAACCGCTGCTCGGCTGCGGAGGCGCTGCTCCGCGAGTTTAGAAGACACGGGACCACCACCTCGTGCGGCAGAGATCCGGAAGACCCTTGGGTCGGAGAGAGCCACTGTTTGATAGAAGATGATGCCCTCTGCTGAAAACCAGCTGGCTTGGACAGGATGGGCGATGTGGTGCTGGAGGGCAGAGGCAGAGCAGCTCCACTGGGGGCACAAACAGCAAGCTGGGGGGAGGCCAGACCTCCAAGACTCTCCATCCTCTGGGACCTGGCCGGGGTTGTTTCAGCTTGGACTGAGGGCACTAAACATCAGCAAAAGTCACATTCAGATTAAGTTCAGATCAGTTTGGACATAAAAGGGGTACTTCAGATCTTTTTTAATGTGTTTGTGAGAACGGTAATAAACATATAGCATTGTACTCGTGTTAGCTAGCTTTTTATACAGATTCAGACTGGAGAAATAAGCTAACCGTTGCTATCTTAAAAAGATTCAGAGATTCATAAAAATGCTTTTTCACAAACCTTTACACTGTTGTCAGTTTAGTTAAGCATTTATTGTGATAGAAAAATAGAATATTCATACAGGAAGTGCTCCAGACTGCATCCAAAATGTTACAGCTAGCTGGTGCCGCTAGCAGAAAGCTAACAGGTGCCGCTAGCAGAAAGCTAACAGGTGCCGCTAGCAGAAAGCTAAGCATTTAATTCTGCGTAAATTATTACATAAAGCAAAACAGATAGCGATGGAAAGGTTTGTGAAATAGTGTTCAAATTAAACATTCTGAAAGTTTGAGGCTGAAACTGTTTTAAAGGGATAGTCTGGTGATTTTTGACGCAATAGTTTAACGTGATAGTTAAACAGATTACAGGTTGTTAGTCGTAGAGCATTGAAGTATGGTGAAAGTGGCAGAAGTCTTCCAGGCTGGGCTTACGGTTAGCTGAACGAGGGCCCTTTTTTTTTAACATTCTCAGTTAAATAAAATAATTCTTACTCAGAAACAGATACGATTATGAAAAGAATGCTACATTAGCTAATAAAAAAACTACACTTTTGCATAACATTGTTCAATTTTTGCTCTTTTCATGATTGAGCATTTGCGATTGATGTCACACAAAAATGTTGAGGTTTCATTTTAGATAATGTAGCTTTCTTTCAGACCAATATGTTGTTTACTACCATTAATTAAGTAAAACATCACTTCAAAAAATGACCAGAATATCCTTTTAAGACAACAAGAATCCACTTGAGTCATTTGCCAATCAAGCCGGTCAAAGTTTAACTCATTTCCTGCAAATTAAATTACAGGTAAGATATTTATTGTTCAGAACATTTCCACGGGAGTACACTTCAAAAAATCTGAACTATTAATTTAAAGCAGAGAATCAATATTTTAGGGGAAGAAAACTAATTTGAGCTGTTTAGTTTTCGAATGAAAATAAAATAAATGTTTTATGGTTTTAATATCACAGAGGGAGAAGTACGTACTTGTGGGAGATTTAGCATGCGTCCAGCCTACGAGGTTAGCCTCCCCCACCGATGACTGTGCATCATCAGTTTTCCGGTGAAGCCGCCATATTCGGACAGTGTGATCATCGGAGCAGGAAGCAATCTGCCAGCAGAGCAGAGGGCTTTAATAAAACTTAGATTCTGCTCAGATGACTCAGCAAGGAGAGGATCGGCCTAGCTGTTTGATCATTTTACGCTACAATTTTTAAAAAAAATCATCAGGGTTCGATGACTTACTTTGGTGAAATCTGTCGGACACCATGCAACAGATGTCACTTCCTCGCTGTGACCCTGAAGCATCATGGGAGGACGTTTGGGATCAGAAATCTGAAAGGGAAGCGATTGTTAAAAAAGCCTGAAACGCTCCAGTTTTTAACAGAATCAACTACTAAAAACATTAAACCATATCTGGGGGATTTGCACAGTTAAAAGGCAGTACCTTCCAAACATATATGTGGTTGTCACTCGAGCCGCTGGACAGAAACCGGTCGTCGGGGCTGATGGTGGATTTGACGTAAAACGTGGAGTTCTGGTGTCCACTGAAAACTGCCACTGTGGGAGCAAACGTGTTTAATACGGATCACAAAAGTTCAAAACGGTCCTAAAAGTAATGATGAGCAAATAAAATCAGAAAATTTCATTCCACACTTTTAGATCAAGATGCTGGTAAATGATGGAGTGGTGGCCGTTTAAGTCAAACCTTTAACCTCAGGTCACGCTCACAGTACATGCTGTTAACGACTCTCAGCTACTACCACAACAAATTTTAGCTCATTTTTTAAAAAAGTGACTGAGTTAAAGCTGTTTTTGTATTGCCTAATTCTGATTGGCTGCGGCAGCCATTTTGAACTGGATTTTCTCCCAAATTTAATCAGTTGCAGGTGTTCATCCAATGATCACTTTCTGTGAGTTTTATGGCAATTTGCTGAGTGGTTCGTGAGAAGTTTTGCTAACAGACAAGATACAACCACGCCATGACACAGGAATAAGCTTATTAGTCCTGCATGTTCACATATAAAAGGCACAAAGCATTAGCGCCATCTAGTGATAAAATAATGAAAAGCAGGAAACTATCCATGGTGGCACAGGTACCCTACCTGGAGAGGTTTTTATCCCACAAACGTCAAACATGTAGATGCTGTCGTCCGTGCAGTTGCACATGACGTTGGATCTCGAGGAGTCCAGAACGAGACCAGAATAGCCTGCATGAACCAAACAGCTCGCGTGTGAGGAATGTTGCGCAATTTTAAGTAAAAACGTGTGCGAAAACGCGGTACTGACCCAGACGCATGCGTGTGCAGGAGCCGGCGTACGGGTACGTCTGCAGAGGGGCGGGGTCGTGGCGGCACGGGCTGTAGCTTTTCCTCAGATCCCACATCTTTATTACTCTGAAATGGCGAGGGAGAAAAAAGGATCGTTCGAGTCTTCAAATGGGTTTTATTGTTATATTTTTTATTGCTGTTATTTGTAATCAATAATAACTGCCACCTTTTTAATGATGCTATTATGATCTGTTCTAGGTCTGTTTTATGCTAGTTAGCCTAGGCTATAAATGTTTTAGTGTATAGTTTTGTAAATTCTCCACATTTGTCTCCACAAAAACAATAAATAAGTGAAATTTCTTTTTTTATTGATGAGGGAAAAAAAAAAGAGTTTGTGTTTTTACCCATCGACAGCCCCAGAGGAGATGAGTGTGTGCTGATCCCGAAACAAAACCACTGTTACACTCTGCTGGGAGTCCTGGAAACAAATAATAATAATAATAATAATAATAATTGCAATAATTGTAATAATAATAATAATAATAATATAATAAATACAAGAGAAAGTTAATGCTTTCATGTTCCCAGCTGCAGCAGAAACTCACCACGCTGGGCGCCATGCCACGCACGCTGCTCCGCCTCTTCTTCACTTTAGCAGGAGGGTTGGTTTCAGGTTTGTTGTGAGCGCCGCTGATCTGTTTCACCTGCTTGTAAAAACCATCTGACAGGAAACAGGAAAGGCTCAATATCTGCCCCTGTACGGTGCAACAAACTATCAAACTGAAACTATTTGTAGTATAAATACATTTACATGCACCTGTACCTTTATGGCTGCACCTGATATCCCAGACCATAATATTTCCGTCTCTGCCTCCGGTGCAGAAAACAGCTGTTTAACAGAAGGAAAAGAAACAATAAAGTAAATTAAATAGCCTCATTTTTACTCCCATACCCCCACAGAAAAAAAACTGTATTTTTTGTGATCAATACAAGACAAAGTTTACCTTTTTCCCCCGGAGCGAATGCAACAGATTTGAGGCTGCAGAGGTGGCCTTTAAAGCTGCCTAACAGCTCTCCGGTTTGCACATCCCACAGCTTGGCCATCTGATCACCTGCAGCAGTCACCTGAGGACAGAACGGAATCAAAATATAGCAGGAACATTTGTAAAGAAAACAGAACTTGGTTTGTGCGTAAATGTGAACTGACCAGCTGAGGCTCCCCTGGTACCCACGCAATGTCAAAGACAGCGTTCTCATGAGCCAGCCATTCTGTAAGTAGCGCACTCAGTCAGCCAGCTGTTTATTCATAAAGTGCACAAACCAACTGGTTTAAAAAAAGTACCTTTGAGAAGAGGGTTTTCACGGCTCTCTGTGTCGTAGATCCTAACAATCCCTTCTTCGTTTGCTGCTGCGAGAACGTTCTGCAGCTGCGAAGCTAAAAGGAAGACGCTTCAAGTCAGAAACAACAACAACGTCCTGCTCTTTTGTACAGGATGCTCAGCGGTTACCAGAGGAGAAGGCCAGTCCAAACGGTGGCACCGAGTCGCCCATGTTCCCATACGAGATGTGCTCATCATGCCGGACACACTGGTAGTCCTCCAGCAAGGTGAAAGGGATCCTGGAGCAAGACTCTGCAAGGAGTGCTGAACAGAATAATGTATGGTTAGAAATGCACATAAAGTTCATTTTCTAATAAGACTTTTACCATCTGGTCATATTTGATTAAGCGATTTCCTGTTATGCTAGCACCTACAATGATAAGATAGGCGGTAAATACAACATATATGCGAAACAAATCCCCCCAAAATTCACATTTGCACACATGTCTACTGCTTAGATGCGTCATTTTTAGGGTGATTATAAATGTGTCCTCATATTTAAGTCTGACAAAGTTAAATGTAAGTTTATGCAGAGAGACGTAGGTAATTTGTTGCTGTTTTAAATGTTTCAGAACAGTGAAAACGTTGCGTTCACGCGTCAAGCTAACTGTTGCTCGAGTTAGCTTGAAATGAAAAATCCTACTTTAAAAACAACAAAATTACAAAAACTGAACAATCCAACATCAGCTATACAAACTAACTCCTTTAACTTGGATAAAATGTTGAGTTGCTTTTCTAATCGAGCCGAGGATCCACAGGAGCACAAAAAAGCAGCTCGTCAACAGATAAGTGCCCCAAACGCATCACGTCTCACCGTTCTGCCTCCGTCTGCCCACTCCTCTGTCAACAATGGAGCGGAAAAACATGCCCATGTTCCAGAGAAGAGACGATCTGAAATTAAGAAGAAGCTGGTCGGATCATAAGCTGGTGGTATCCTTTCTTCGGGGTGTGTTTCCCGCGAACGGTCGTCCTAAGGAGAAGCGAATTCCGCGCTAAACGTTTGACTGCGATTGGTGGTTTGGATAGTGACTTCCTGAGCGGAGCGATTCCGCATCTGGTTTCTGACACTTTCAAAATAAGGGCACACAATATCGATAGCGGCAGATCACAGAGTTAAATAACGCTGTTCTGTATAACTCAGTGTAGTAGACCTATTTCAGAATCTTATTTCCCAACTCTCATGTTACAGATTAAACATTTTTTTAATTATAATCCAATATTTACTCTAATTTGTTGCTCAAATGGTTTTTATTTTGAAAAATCCAGACCGGATGTAGTCTGAGCGTTTTAGCATCGTTAGACTAATGGATCTTGTGTGTTTAAAACTACTTTAACTAAAGCTTTAACCCGAAAGTAAAAAGTAAATAATAAAAAAATAAATGTCGCTTTCAACAGCACGTTCATTCCTGTCAGAAGCTTGTTATGGCGAACAAGAACTGGACGCTAACTCCGCTCTTATGGAGCTGGACAAAGGTGCTAACGAGTTAGCTTTCGGCTCATTGATTTGGCGTTTTCGTGTTTTGTGAGGATTTTATCAACTTTATGGGGGTTGTCTGCTTTGTTGTGACTGGAGCAATGCTTTTTTAATTTCAGGGCTACGTTCAGGGAAGCTGGGAGAACAGTGCGAGGCGGTGGTGTTGTTCCCCAAGCTATTCCAAAAGTACCCCTTCCCCATCCTCATCAACTCAGCCTTTCTAAAACTAGCTGACCTCTTCAGGCTCGGGTATGACAGCTAAAGATGCATGTGTTTCTCTGAATACTTGTGTTATAGCCGTGTTTACCATAATCCACATTTTGTACAAGAATTAGATAATGCTCCTGCATAATTACGTTTATTAGTGAGTCAATTTCCATAACATTCACAATATTCAGACATGCACAGTAGTATAATCAACTGCAGACCTAATATGTATTTTACCTACACTTTATTTGTTTAACACAATCCGTGTGCTCGTGAGCTTGCAATATTACTGCAAATGCTGTGATTCTTATGCCAGTGGACATAAAACAAATCTAATAATTTCACAAACGTAATGGAATGTATTGATGTTTACAGCAATACTTATAGAAACTCGTTTCTCTCTTTCCTACAGCAACAACTTTCTGCGTCTCTGTGTGCTGAAAGTAACACAACAGAGCGAGAAACATTTGGAGAAGATTCTCAATGTGGATGAGTTTGTTAAAAGAGTGTTTTCAGTCATCCATAGCAACGATCCTGTGGCCCGAGCCATCACGCTGAGGTGAAGTTGTGCACAATGCTTGCGAACATTTCTGTTATAAATAAATAAATAAACTTTCTTGTTGTTTCATCTGTTCAGGATGCTCGGTAGTTTGGCCTCCATCATCCCAGAGAGGAAGAATGCTCACCACAGTATTCGACAGAGCTTGGACTCTCATGACAATGTGGAAGTGGAGGCTGCTATTTTTGCTGCTGCGAGTTTCTCTGCACAGTCAAAGTAAGGAAAAACCGTCGCCCTATCACTGTGTAGAGTCAGTAATAATTAGCCGATAAGGGCTTTAAAAAGTGTGCCCCATCAAATCAAATCATAAATGTGAGGGCACCTGCTGAGGTGGGAACAACGTGGGCTGAGGTGCTTGTGACGGTGGAGGAGGTGGGCAACAAAATAATGTGCAAGGAACCAGTTTGACTTGCTTACATGTTGATTTTACTGTTTTGAACTTTTCAGAGATTTTGCAGCTGGAATCTGCAACAAAGTCAGTGAGATGATTCAAGGTAAAACATTTGTTCACATGAACGTGACTGATATCCTTTAAACAGTCTTGTGATGGATATTTGCGCTCCTCCTGTCAGGTTTGGACACCCCGGTGGAGCTGAAGCTGAAGCTGATCCCCATGTTGCAGCACATGCATCACGATGCCAGCCTGGCGTCCAGCAGCAGAGAGCTGCTGCAGCACCTCGTCAACTCCTACCCCTCCACCTCCATGGTCATCGTCTCGCTGCACACCTTCACGCAGCTGGCTGCCTCCTCGCTCATCGATATCCCCAAGCAGGTAGCTTCAAGTCACTTATTTGCTCGAGTCGTGATAAAATACTCAGAAATGAGCTTTAATGCTTAGTATTTGGTGGTGAAACTTTTTATCTCCCCAGTTGCAGCTTCTCCTTCAGTACTTGAGAGATGACCCGAGAAAAGCCGTAAAGAGGATCGCAATTAATGACTTGAAGCTCCTGGCTAAAAAGGCTCCTCACTTGTGGATTAGAGAGAATACTCAGGTAGGTGTGCTGCCATTGTTCCTTCGGTGTAGCTTTAAAATTGGCATAAAACAGAGTTCCTGCAGATCCTTAAAAAATCTTAAAAGGCATTGAATTCATCAATCCAAAAATAAGGACTTAATTAGCCTTAAAATGTCTTAAATCAATCTTTCAGAAGTCTTACAAATGTGAACACGTAAATAGGATGATTGTAATTCATCTCAAATATTAAAATAATCGGTAAAAATAACTTTTTTCAAATAATCACATGCAGACATTCCTCTTTGACATCACTTCCTGTTATTTCACATGCAAATATCTCAACTGTYCATCTGAGCAATGTGAAATTCATTTTGTAATATGTTAATGTTGTCTTTCCAAAAAAGCATTCACTTTTCTTACAAAAACTTGACGTCACAGACACTTAAGGGTTTCATCTAGGGCTGCCACAAACGATTATTTTAATAATCGATTAATCACCGATTATTTATTCGATTAGTCGACTAATCAGATCATACGTTAATTGAATATAAAACACAGAGCTTATCACGTCAGAATGCAGCTGCTATTGTATAATCATCGTTAGATTTTAGCTATATGCTAACTAAAAATAATTGCTGTGGAAGGYAAGTTCTGCTCTGCAGATATTACACAGGTTTCTCTTTCATTTTCTTAAAATGATCCCACACTTTGAGCTCTGTTGTCAGGTAGCCATGATACCAGAGCCTGTCTGTATAATGTCTTGTGACGTCCACGGCCTACCCCAGTTACCACTACTGTGCATGTGTGTCAAGGACAGAAAGGTAGATGTGGCAGTGGAAGGTGTCAAAGCAGTTTGGAGAGAAAAACAAAGTAAAGAACAAAAAAAAAGAAAACGATTAATCCATTATTAAATTAGTCATCGATTATTTTAATAATCGATTAGTCGTCGGTTAATCGATTAATCGTGGCAGCCCTAGTTTCATCTACAGAAAATTGGAGTTAAGAACCCACTGTTGGTCCTAAAACTCCAAATTTTGGGTCATTAGAGGATTTCCATAAATTAATTTAAGTTTAAAACTGACTGCTAAGAATGTTTCTGCTATAGTTAGATATGGATAAAAACTGTTGGTCTTTTAGCAGTATTTGAATACTTCAACCAAAAATACTTTGATTCATGAGTTTCTGACTGCTTTTATTTTTTTGTCATTTGTGTTTATTATGAAATTGGTCTTAAATTTAATTTCACCTGGCATTAAAAAGTCTTAAATTTAACTTTCTTTGAACTGTAGGAACCCTGTCAAATCTAACAACTTTAATCTGTGCAGACTCTGTGCGAGTGCGCTCTGACGGTTCCTTATAACAGTCTGAAGCTGGGGATGTTGGCTGTCCTCTCCACCCTCTCTGGAACTATAGCAGTCAAGCAGTATTTCAGTAATGCAGCAGGTAACGGACATGTAAATCATTAATTATTTTTGTAGAATGTTCCAACATGTTCAAATTATGAACGGAAGGCTGACATTAAACTGAGTCAAGAAAGCTTTCCTGTCAGGTGCCTCTTCAGTTCCCCCACGCCTCACTGACCTGGTTAAACTGGCACAAGAATGCTGTTACCACAGCAACCTGGTGGTGGCCGCTCACGGGGTCGTAGTCCTTTGCAACATTGCCATTTCCTGTCTGGAAAAAGGTCAGTTCCCGAGGGACCTTTTTAAACTCCTGTCCCTGTTAGTCTGTTTGATGCCGTTTGCTCTCATTGTTTCTCACTTCTGGGTGGACTTCCTGTTTCCTCAGACGTCGTTCAGCTGGAGCAGGACACGGTTTTAGGGGTGGAGTCCCTCCTGATGCTGTGCAGTCAGGACAGCAGCCCCAGTGCTCAGGCTACGCTCAAAGTAAGACTGTAAACACAAAAAACACTGTTCTTTAAAGTGCCTGTAACACGCCTATCCTTCAAATACAAAAGGTCAAAGAAAATATTTTCATATTTAGGAAAATTGGCATAAAACACGTGATTTAACCCATTTTTTTTTCACATAACTGTCATATTTTCCTTTGAATTTGGCTCAGCTAAAGTGAAACAGGAAGTGACATCAAAGAGACCTCTGGTCTTTGTTTATTAAAACTATATTATTTGAACTCTGACTCTTCTTGACTCTTCTTCATCTCTCTCTTATAGGGACTAAAATTATCTAAAGAAACATCAGAAAATTCTCCACAGTCTTTGTTGTTAGCCGTTGTAGCAATGCTCTGTTTACATGCAGACATTTCCCTTTGACATCACTTCCTGTTACTTCTCATGCAAATATCTCAACAACTGTTCATCTCAGTGGTGTGAAATTGCTTTTGCAATATGTTATCAATGTTATCTGTCCAAAAGTGCAATCACATTTATCGCAAAAAATTGAGGTCACAGGCACTGTAATCTAAAATGTAGCACTAATGGTGTTCAGAATCTGGCTTCCAAAACATGTATATGTTCTTTAATTCTGCTTTAGAAACTAATTTTGAACATTAGCTAATGTTTATCACACTAATGCCAGCTTCTGCTCTAAAACTGTTGATTATGTTAAAAAATAATATTTTGCTTTAGGAGTTAAAGGAAGGTTTCCCTCACTGCTTTTCCACTCATGTTTGTAGACGGCCTTAACCTCGTTTGTTAAGCTGCTGAAAAACCGACCCCATCTCAGCCAACCAGCCGTGGAGTTCCTGCTCGGCCAGCTCCACCTATCCTGCGACTCCTCGCGCGTCCTGATGTGCCACGCCCTGGCAGCCATTGCCACCCAC